CACAAAGACCTATTCTGATATTTATTTGTTGAAAATGAAATCATATAAAGAAAATGTTGAAGTAATAAGTGGTAATTAATTGATAACTTAAAACAAACTTGATGGCTTCTGCAAAGTGAAGTAAAAATGATTTCTCTTCATTATTTATTATTTCAAACGCCTTTTAAAGTCCATATTGTGTTCATCGATCAAATATCCAATCATTTTACATGTGAATACTTTAATTTAGGGAGTATTTTCAGAAAAGCTTGTAGATACCCCTCTTTCAGTCCTTCCTACGAACTTTTCCACAAGTACATTCAAATCGATAAACACATTCGAAAATAACCTCACAATCAAACTGACCCACTTTTGGTTGATTTAAGGAAATTAGTTTTGTAAATGATAAGAAATAAAAATAATTGCGTTCAAAATGCTCAAAAATGATCTGTCAGTTCACGAACAAGTATGAAAAAGATTAAGCATTTTCTGATCATTAAAATTAAATGATTTAGTTTAAATTGTTCAAGTTATGTAGAATGTGATCGGTCAAAAATCTTACTTTCGTCTATATTTTCAAACATTTTCATGAGTCCAACTTTGAAGCATACAGGAAACATACAAGACGAAATATCTTCTCAACAGTTTAACATAGTTCAAAACTTCTACTACACAAACCTATCTATTTCATTGAATCAATCGCTTCATCAAAAACACAATATGCTTTGTACGAAGATTGTGGAAATGAGAATTTTCTATAGATGCAATTCAGTTTTTGATCGTTATATTTAGTTATATGATCCAGTGTATTTTGATAAACTTATTGTTTGTAGTAAATAATGAAATCTTCATTGACTGTCTTGTCCACTTCCTTGAATATCGCCTCATCAATTTTTGTTCCCTCATGACAAGCAGTCATATCAGTGGTTTTTCCAGATTCCATAGCATGATTTTAGTGAGGTTAACCATTTAAAAATATCATTGTTATCTGATAATAATCATGTCTCTGACGTCATTCATATATAGTCATATAATTGTTATGACTCATTTATATTCTCGTGGAACATTCTACTCACTCGTTCTTGGAACGCCCTACATATAAAACATGTTAAACCGAAATTTCGGATTCCTTTTACTCCCTATCTTTTAGTTTCAGCCAATTAAAATTGCTGATTTTAAATTCTATTTACTTGTTATAACTATAACTCGATATAGTGGTCTTTAAATGATTTTATTTTACATATACGACAGATAAAGCTTCGTTTAGTCTTTATATTAATATTCAAATTACGGTTTTCCGACAATACAGTGCTATTAGATGCTGATAAGACAGTTTACAAACAGTTAATAGAGCGTATTTATTCAACAAATCAATTGCAGAACGTTTGAAACAAAATCAAAGAATAATTTTACATTTTATATCGGCCATAAATATCATCGAAGTTTACAATACTCGAATCGAAATAACCCCAAATATCGGAACTCTGTAGTTCTCACTCATTAAATTTGGGTTAAAACATAACGAAGCATCACCACTATAATTGTCCCATCCGTTACTAACCAATTAACCATGGCACAGTCTAAATCTGTTTCATAATAAATTAAGTGATATACACTTGTTATATATTAGAAAAATACAAATGAATGAATACCTCCGTAATATATCTGTTCAGTATTCATATGTTCTCTTTTCATATTATATTTACTGTTCATACATAATCTAATGACGCATCTATTCATCTTTACCAGTTATAAACCATGTAACATTTGTCCACAGGTAACTTACTTTTCCCTATATATCACATTAATGAAATCAATGTGGTTTAGTGTTATCGGATATTTATTTAAAGTAAATCTATAGAAATCATGATAGAAATTATCTATGGCTTTTACTCCAACACACGAAGTTTCAAATTCATCTCAGTGAAACTTCCAGAAGAGATATTCCGTTCGATTAGTGAACAGTACAACAATTCGCAAAACACAAAAAACCACAAATTTATTTGACTATATTTAAACTGACTACTGTAACCTTTACAAGTAATAATAACCTGACACGGTAGAAAACTTCAAGCAATCATAATTTTCATTTTATCATAGTAATGATATCTGTGAGAGCAAAAGAAACGATCGAGTATAAGAAAAAAGGACAATAGGATTATGTTACTTAAGAACTAACATTAGATAAGTAGTGAATACATCCACTCCATTAATAAGGATTCAGAACCATATCACCCAAATTCTCCAAACACTGGTTATGATAATCACCAGACCTCAACCATGTAGTCTACTTCTCCCTACATAGCTCTGTCTAACAGTGATTGTCTCCATGTACTGTTACGATTTAATGTTTTGCTAGCCCCTTGTCTCCTACCGAAATACATTTTCAACAGATATCATTGTTCCACATGGTAGGCGATAATCAAGCATACTTATCACATACTTATCCGAACTATGTCAGTTGATGAACATACAATACCTCGTCAATCGATTCGTCATATTTACCTAGCACTCTGTACCGAACTTCAAAACTTCCCACTCAGTGGGCTCAATGTATACTAGTGATGCTTCGGAGACACCAATGACCGAGTACTAGTAACCCACGAATGTAATCTATTCTTAATGGTCATAATTGACAGCCACAAAATAAAACTGCTGTGTCATATACTCATCCCCTGTTTGGTAGACGGATGTCTCGTCTACGCCACAAGTGATGCAATTTAACAAATGTCAAGTGAACTGTTCGAATGAGTGCACATATTTCTTCAGACACAACCCCTCTAGGTCTGAATTATAATATTTTAGATTTAATCAATGAATTAAATGATGATATGTGGAAAGCATAACTGAAATGACATCCCTACTCATCAGTGGAAGGAAATGTTCGATCTCAACGATACTTAATTGATCTGAATGATGTTTCAGGTAGGTACAGTCTTGTATAGAGAGTATACAGTTTCAAGTTAGATTAATAACTTAACTAATGTTAGTAGACATTAAGAAGCGTTGTATGCAATGAAAGCTCAAAGTAATTCTTAGATCATATCGGAAGGCAATATTTCTAGTTCAAATCAATAAAGCAGATTCAAATTAATGAAAAATCACATGTTCAACAGAACATTAAGTAATCTAAGAAACATTAGAAGTGAAGCAGTAGAAGGAGAAAACTAAAGATGAATTACTTGGACTGACAAATTCCTATTGTAACTGTCAGTCTAACTTCTTAACAGTGAATCGTAGTACTTGGAGTCTTAATAATTCACCTCATCACCCACATCAATGTCACTTAGTATGGCTTAATAAAGTCACATTTAACTCTAGTTATTTCTAAAAATATACATGTGTGTAATGATCAGTTGTCTACTGTAGTAAAAATAATGTAGTGTAAATGTGTGATGGCCAAATCCCTCAGACTGATCATGTAATAGCATTTACAACACAAAAAGGTAGATGTAACTTATATAGATAACTTGCACGGTTTTAATATATGACTATTCATTTCAATTACAAAGTAGATATTGATTTGATTTAGAGTAGTTAACTTATTTATTTCTCCCTCTTTCAAATATCTTTACAACTGAAATTTATCATGATTAAGTTCGTTTTATTTGAGTTTGAATATCCATTGTGCTGACCAGCTTTAAAACTATACCAGAATTCACCCCAACCATTATTTTATCACTCTTCTACCGATATTTATAAACATCATAAAGATACATCGTTAAACTAAACGCGAAAACTATTTCAATACCTGCCAATCCCCCATTAACTTGTTATACTAACTCACAAATATAAATTCAATATCTGTAATATAAAGCTACATTTCCAGGAAACGTAACTATTACTTTAATCAATAGTTTTCGGCATATAACGGTGGAATATGATATGAATTCATTGGAAAAAGAATTCTCCTTTCAATTATCTTTGTTCTATGAATTGTCAAAAGTATTGACTGTCTCATGAATAGCCAACGAACAACTATCTGTACTCAGATCGCTCAGCTAAACAATTGCTCAGGAATAGTATGATTTTATTGTCTAAACTGTTAAGAACTTATTGTAGTAGTCCTTGGCCCAAACTACAATATTGCCACTAATTTGCCAGATACAACTGTTTACTCTAATATGGGGTCAATTGTTAGAAGTCGAAGTACATGTGAAAGTCACCCATAACAATGAACGCAAGTCACTTCCAGATACTCAAGACCATATGATATAATTCAGCCATCACAGACTTTACATCTCAGACATTAAGATTTTAAGTGAATTCTGTTAATTTTGAATTACATTTAACTATAAATCCCTAAGTAATATTAATTTCTAACCATCAACAAATCGTGAATAAAAGTCTAATACTAAGAGATGAGTGACCACGAGGTAGTGATTAATGTAATGTTTGTCTGATTATTTAGTGCTTATCGAATTCTATAGGCCAAGTTACAATATGGCCAATAGTATAAGTGACTTGATATCGTGTTCACTACATCAAGATGGTGTGAGGTAGTGCACAGGAAAACATCACTCTAAATTTCGTACTGTTTAACACATTTTAACAATGAGTACCTGTTATCCCACAGTGAGTGTCGTTCCCCTCACGTTTACAGGCACACCTTGCTGGTAAGTGCTGAATACCATGAAACTTGCATCCAGGGCTTCCTGTCAACTACTTTAAACCATCTGACATATCAGAGTTTCCCTCTAAATGATCGCAATTGTCATACACAGAACTCATCGTTTCATATAACGTGTCAAACTAAACAAAATAGATAGCCACTTTGAAAAATTATTAAAATACCAATCAAATTAAGAAACGCTTATTAGCGTATGTTTATATATTTAACGTTGGTCCAACAATAATATGTTCTATTGTGTAAGGCACACTAGAGAATCTATGTTTGCGAAATGACCTTTAGGTCAGTAAATTCATGTACAACACCGCAACGGAAATTGATCAATTATTTTCGACCATAATTGTAGTTTTTTTGAAAGCCATCGTAATCTATTTATGTATATATATAGTAAGCTTAATAAATGATTCTATTGCTCTCAACCATAAAAAACTGTTCTAATGATAGAACTGAGAAAACTTGTTTTTAGATCAATAACAGTCATTTGTATTGGATATATAATACGCTGTTTTCTGAATAAATCAACCGATTCATATACTTATCATATTAATCCATCCATTGAGCTGAATAACCAACTTATTACAAATAAAAATTATGGAAAGTTAGAAAAGATTGATTTAATGAATTACAGTGGTCCTGAAAGTTTAATTTATCATGATGGTAAGTAGTGTAGTTTTGTTTAGCTTTCTTAATTGGGAAATTATCCAATAGGTTCATTGTATGCCACAGTGATTCAAGGGAAAATAGTAAAAATAAATGATTCTGGGATTTATGTTCATGCAACACTTGGTTCACCAAACTGCGGTAATATTGTTCTTTATAGCTTATAGCTTAACTAATACACCAAATATTTAGTTGGTGTACATGAATGTGGTAGACCATTAGGTTTAAAATTGTTCAACAATTCGGAGAATTTCTTGGTCACGGATGCCTATTTAGGTGTATTCTCTGTCTCAGTAAAAGATGGTCAGTTCAATAAACAATAATAATAATAATAATAATAATAATATTGATTATATTTTTGCATCTTTTAGGTAGTGTGAAGAAATTGTTCCCATTAGATGAAGATTTCAAAGTTACATTTTTTGATGATTCAGTAATGTTACCGAACGGTAGTCTTGTTATTACTGAAGCTAGTACAAAAAATACTTTACGACATCTATGGACAACAATTTTAGAGGGACTACCTAGTGGGAGGTAATGACAAGTTTTTCACAAATGATCTGTATTTCAGTGGTTCAATTCATATCTATTTTTAACTAGGTTTAGGATGATGATACTTTCTTCATGAATTTTGTTCTGAAATATGTAAACATTTAATTCATCAGTTGAGCTATTCAACGGAAAATCATCGACCTAAGTTATGTATTAGTTGGAACTCGTCGGAAACACGTAAAACAAGTCTCACTCAGCCAATTTTGCAAAGAGACAGTCTTACAAATAGACAGTGGCAAATACGTCTTTAATCATGGCATATTTGATTGTGATGCTCAGTGATACGGTTTCGGAAAACGTAGATAGAGTAGACTATGTCGAAAATGCAGATATAATACCTGATTATCACTACAGGACTAGGAAATAAAATATTGTTTACTAGTCAATGATCGGTTAGTGTTAATAAAATAAGAAATATTCTACTTGATTTGGCATATTCCGTTTGATCTTAATAAGCATCTGTGTATATTTGATTTCCTAACTGCAGAATTTTCGATTGAGTTGTAACTAGAAGACCAAAGCAAAACATTCAGTGTTTACCGATAAATTACATGACAACAATTAAATCTCTAACCATTAGGACAAAAACGTGTTACACAGTACTAGGCATTGGTAAATGTATCCTTTCAGTCTTCGGTGTTGATTTTTCTGGAGAAATTCAACACAACTGATTAGTGTTTCATGCAACTGGTTCCCTTTATGAATTTAAATAAAGCAAGAACAAATATTGGTGCAGAATTGTATGAATTCATATTATTTCGAAGTTTCTCATCAGCTGCTTACAAACCAAAAATGTTTAATCTTTCATAAGTTTTTTCAAAGCTTGTTGGTGATCTTTAGTCAACACTTTCGATTGTGGGGTTGGTGTCGTTATGTACTGCTTTGTAATGTCAACTAATTTCGATTTCAACCGATTATGTTTTTCATCGTTCATGGGTTTAAGTTCTGACAACTGTTGATATAAATACTCGAACTGGGTTTCAGTGTCCATTCTGTTGCATTTTTTTCGGAATGTGAAATTTAAATCCAAGGGAGAGTGCTTCAGTTTCAGTTCGAGTTAGTTTTTTTACTGAATAAATTCTGTACGTATTATTCTGGGTTCGTAGAAAAGGCGTTATGTTTTTGTTCTTTCACAAGTGTTTTGGTTAATGTCTTTAAGAATTTATGACTGGTTTTGGACTGAACATTGTAAATGAAATTCATGAGTGTGATTCAACGTACAATGTTTAAATCCATAATAATGTTTACTAAACGGAAACTATCTTTAAAAAAATAAGTGAAAAATACGGTTGCATTACTGCAGATTTGTAAAAGCATTAATACCTCTTTTCTTTTGACAATGAGTCAGATGGATACTTCGGTTCTAAATGTTTACAATTAAGTATTTTAATGCTGTCAAATAACCACCAGATAACTTGGTTTGCATACAATGAAACATTATTCGAATGACCATTGGGAACCAAAGTGTTGCATACAAATATCACATTATTCTTAGTAACGTTTATACACGTAACCACGATGTCACCGTTATATTCTGGGAAATATACCTAAAAATATACAAAACAGATATGGTCAAAAAAATAGACTTAAATAACTGTCTAAGCTATAATAAGATCAAATTAATGCGATGTACTTTAGAATCTTCATGAAACAAACTTTGAATATGCCTTCCAATCATTTGTATTTCTGGAACACGAATCCTAATTAATGTAGGTTTCTTCTTTAATTATTTCTCTAGGCTAACAATGGCTGATACAAAAACTGGTCAATACAGTCACATAATGGATGGTTTACGCTTTCCCAACGGAATCGAAATTTCTAGTGACGGAAAATCCATATTACTCGTTGAAACAATGAAACTTCAAATTTTACGAATTCCATTAGACGGAGGTGAAGTGACCGTGTTCAGTGATGGGCTACCTGGTTTTCCGGATAATATCAAAGCCAGTCCACGTGGTGGATATTGGGTCCCTGTATCACCTCTTCGTGACGAGCCTCTATCTGAACTTCTACTCAACTATCTACCAGCTTATCCTTGTATTCGTCAGTTGGCTTCCAGTGTACGGTTAATTATATTCCTGCATTTTTTATAATCAATATTTTCCATCTTATTGTCACTCCATTTCTGAACTTTTTGGCAGTCGAGTAGTAAACCTAGAACAGTGTATGTAGACATTTTCAAATTCAACCAACTAATGACATGGCAGTGCAATCACATAATGGCATTGAGAAAGACTGTCTCACTACCGGCATGGTTGACCTCCACCAGTCTTGAATTCTCAATGAAACCTACTGAACTCATTTCAGAGAAAATGAATAGGGATCAAACGATTCTATATCGGTGCCTTAGCAGGGGCAAACGCTGAGGGTTTCCACACTGCAACGGAACAACTGAGAAATGTTCCCTGGTTTTCACTGGTACCTTAACTAATGTGAATCTGTAGCTGAAGCTAATTACGAAGTAAAATAAACTTCACAATACCTTCAAAATGAATTATCATAGAGGTAGATCAGAGAATCTAGTGACACATATTAAACTTTTATGCAATTTCCCACCAAACTAAGTAAGTATTCAGTATTTCATTATTTTTTTATCTTTGCAACAGATTATCTCCATGCTTCCATTCACACTAATACCGAAAGGAAAATCATCAATGTTAATTCGTTTAGATGAAAATGGACAGATAATTGAAATTTGGAAAGATTTTCAAAATGAATTACCAAATGCTTGTGAAGTACTAGAACATGATGATACTTTATACACTGGAAGCTTTTATCTACCTTACATTGGTCGTTTAAGAAGATTGTCAAATTAATTTCTATAAAATTTGAAAATCTTTAGTTCCAGAAGATGAATACTGTGTAATTTGATGTTGTTGTTGTTGTTGTCGTTGTTATTCATTCAGCACATTGATGATAAATACTTTCCATGTTTTGATTTGGCTTATCTTTAAGACATTCATCAATATCTTGTTTTCTTATGCTTTTTCGTTGTTGTTGTCATTGTTGGTAGTTTGACTTAGCTATTTCTCAATATTTAATTATTCTGTACTAATTGTGTAATGTGTGAATTACTTAATCAATAATGAATGACACAATGCCATTTACATTTATTGAATCAATCAGGTCGTCTTTAATTATCTGTCTATTATTCAGTTATGTAAAGTCGTGAACTGATGTCACTATGATTGTGTACAATTCCAGGACCCAGGTGAGTCCGTTCCAGTTTCAGATGTTAATTCTAATACTAGTGAGTACGTACCAGATCATACAGAGACACATGATGAACCTAAGGATAAGAGGTACGACTGATCGCAGAAATTTGGATTCTAATGTAAACTGTGGTGGATATTGCGCTTGTATGCATTTGACGACTCCTTTGTACTTGATTACTGCCTGATTTCGAATTCCAAATACAATACGTTCGTTCGTGCTGATCTACTACACCTTGGTTAGATTGCGTTGTTTCAAGAATTCCAAGTTTGTACTATAATTCAAATAGTCCTAATTATCACAATCTGCTTTATTGATTTGAACTAGAAATATATGACACAGCAGTTTTATTTTGTGGCTGTCAATTATGACCATTAAGAATAGATTACATTCGTGGGTTACTAGTACTCGGTCATTGGTGTCTCCGAAGCATCACTAGTATACATTGAGCCCACTGAGTGGGAAGTTTTGAAGTTCGGTACAGAGTGCTAGGTAAATATGACGAATCGATTGACGAGGTATTGTATGTTCATCAACTGACATAGTTCGGATAAGTATGTGATAAGTATGCTTGATTATCGCCTACCATGTGGAACAATGATATCTGTTGAAAATGTATTTCGGTAGGAGACAAGGGGCTAGCAAAACATTAAATCGTAACAGTACATGGAGACAATCACTGTTAGACAGAGCTATGTAGGGAGAAGTAGACTACATGGTTGAGGTCTGGTGATTATCATAACCAGTGTTTGGAGAATTTGGGTGATATGGTTCTGAATCCTTATTAATGGAGTGGATGTATTCACTACTTATCTAATGTTAGTTCTTAAGTAACATAATCCTATTGTCCTTTTTTCTTATACTCGATCGTTTCTTTTGCTCTCACAGATATCATTACTATGATAAAATGAAAATTATGATTGCTTGAAGTTTTCTACCGTGTCAGGTTATTATTACTTGTAAAGGTTACAGTAGTCAGTTTAAATATAGTCAAATAAATTTGTGGTTTTTTGTGTTTTGCGAATTGTTGTACTGTTCACTAATCGAACGGAATATCTCTTCTGGAAGTTTCACTGAGATGAATTTGAAACTTCGTGTGTTGGAGTAAAAGCCATAGATAATTTCTATCATGATTTCTATAGATTTACTTTAAATAAATATCCGATAACACTAAACCACATTGATTTCATTAATGTGATATATAGGGAAAAGTAAGTTACCTGTGGACAAATGTTACATGGTTTATAACTGGTAAAGATGAATAGATGCGTCATTAGATTATGTATGAACAGTAAATATAATATGAAAAGAGAACATATGAATACTGAACAGATATATTACGGAGGTATTCATTCATTTGTATTTTTCTAATATATAACAAGTGTATATCACTTAATTTATTATGAAACAGATTTAGACTGTGCCATGGTTAATTGGTTAGTAACGGATGGGACAATTATAGTGGTGATGCTTCGTTATGTTTTAACCCAAATTTAATGAGTGAGAACTACAGAGTTCCGATATTTGGGGTTATTTCGATTCGAGTATTGTAAACTTCGATGACTGTCGCTCATTCTTGAGCACATGCTTAGATTCAGATCATGCTCTAGTCCGAGCGCATATTTGCTTGCGTTTTACTGGACGTAGGAAAGACGCTGCAAGTAAACCTCTTAGGGGCCTACTTAGTGATAGTCAAGCTAAGAGTATGTTTCAGGAACAACTAGGAAAACAGTTGGCCAGCCATGTATGTGATCTCCACCCCGATGCAGCATGGAATGATATCCGAAAAGCTGTGGAAACAGCAGTGATATCTGCTAGTAAGGTAAACCAGAAGGTTAGGGAGCAACACTGGATCTCAGCAGCATCTATCTCACTGATAGATGCTCGGAAACTCATTCCACCAGCTTAAGCGCAAGCTGATAAGAAGTCTACGCAATGATCGTGAACAGTGGTGGGTAGCGAAAGCAAGAGAGATGGAAAAGGCAGCGGCAATAGGCAGACAATTGTTCAGACTCGTTAAGGAAACCGGAATTAGGAACCCGACCGTTAGCGAAACAATCTCAGAGAAAGATGGACATATTATTCATTCTCAATCCAGGAGATTGGATCGATGGGCAGAACACTTTAGGGATCAGTTCAACTGGCCTTCAGTCACACTTCGGTTTCCCACGATCTCCAGTCAACCTGAATGGCAAGTTAATGTAAGTCCTCCGTCCCTTTACGAAGTTGAAAAAGCCATAGGAAATCTGGAACGAGGGAGAGCAGCAGGCCCTGACAGGTTAACTCCTGAGATTTTTAAGGATGGTGGTCCAGTATTAGCAATGAGATTAACCGAGGTCTTATGTAGAATTTGGGAACTGGACGTAATCCCATATGACTGGTCTCAATCACTGATTGTGCCAGTCTATAAGAAAGGACAAAAGTCCTCTTGTGACAATCACAGAGGAATCAGTTTGACTAATATAGTGTCTAAAATATTAGCTTCAGTAATACTTCGACGCCTAATCAAAGCTCGTGAAGAGCAGACTAGAGAAAACCAGGCCGGTTCTCGACCTGGACGTGGTTGTATAGATCAGATATTCACACTACGTCAGGTTCTAGAACACAGACACACATTCAGAAGCCCCACAATGGTAGTATTTCTCGACCTTAAGGCGGCATTCGACTCTATTGATCGTGAGGTTCTATGGCAGTGTTTGTCACTGAAAGGAGTACCAAAGAAGTACATTAACCTTATAAAGGCTCTCTACTTGAACACAACTGGCTGAGTGAGAGCTTATGGCGAAATGTCATCGGAATTGATTACCTCAGGTGGTGTTTGTCAGGGCTGTTCACTCTCTCCATTCTTGTTCAACTTTGTGGTCGACGTGCTTTTAGAGATAACACTCTCCTCATCTAAATATACAGGGGTTGAACTTCTACCAGGAGGTTCACTTGTTGAATTAGAATATGTTGATGACATAGTTTTATTTGGCAAAGACGCTGACAAAATGCAGTCTTCTGACCAGTCTAAGCAACAATGCAAGCATGTTCGGGATGCGATTCTCTCCCTCGAAATGCAAAATGTTGCTTCAGGATTGGGTTGCATTGACACCCACACTAATGATAGTGAGTGACGTAATTGAGCGTGTCGATCGCTTCACTTATCTTGGAAATCTCATCAGCCCTTGTGGTCCGGTGTATGACGAAATCTCAGCACGGATACAGAAGGCTCGACTAGCTTTTGCCAACTTGCGTCATTTATGGCGTAGGCGAGATATCCGTCTATCAGCCAAAGGACGTGTTTGCTGCGCAGCAGTTCGTCCCGTCCTACTTTGTGGCAGTGAAACATGACCGGTAAGAGTAGAGGATATTCGTAGGTTACTAGTATTTGATCATATGTGTCTTCGAAATATTGCTCGTATATCATGGGACCATCGAGTAAGTAACACAGTTGTTAGGAAACGGGTACTAGGTAAGCATGACGAATCGATTGATGAAGTAGTGAAACTTCATCAGTTGAGATGGCTGGGACACGTGTTACGTATGCCCAACGACCGACTGCCTCGACGTGCTATGTTCAGTGGTATAGGAGTAGGTTGGAAGAAAGCTAGGGGCGGCCAAACCAAAACATGGCACAAGTCCATGAAGTCACTGACAAGTGGACTGAGTCATGTTGGTAGGTGTAGACTACCTGGTTGGGGACCACGAGATGATAGCAACCGATGGTTAGAGACCCTGAATGACATGGCTCAAAATCGTTTGTAATGGCGCAGGTGCATCCATTCTTTATGTTCTACCAAATTCTAATCTTCTGAATTCTTCATGTCCCTTTCTTTTTTCTCTTTCCAAATTTATTTCACTGGATTATACTCTTTGAATAACATCTTCAAACCCTAATCTATCCGATTACTGCATACACTCTTACCGCCTCTATCACTACGGGATTTGAATCGACAACTGCATCTCTGTACTAATGTGGTATGGCAACTTGAACTGATGTACGTACGTACGAAGTTCTACGTTGTTACTGACTGACTGACTGACTGATATTTATGGCCGATATAAAATGTAAAATTATTCTTTGATTTTGTTTCAAACGTTCTGCAATTGATTTGTTGAATAAATACGCTCTATTAACTGTTTGTAAACTGTCTTATCAGCATCTAATAGCACTGTATTGTCGGAAAACCGTAATTTGAATATTAATATAAAGACTAAACGAAGCTTTATCTGTCGTATATGTAAAATAAAATCATTTAAAGACCACTATATCGAGTTATAGTTATAACAAGTAAATAGAATTTAAAATCAGCAATTTTAATTGGCTAAAACTAAAAGATAGGGAGTAAAAGGAATCCGAAATTTCGGTTTAACATGTTTTATATGTAGGAAGTTCCAAGAACATTTGAGTGGAATGTTCCACGAGAATATAAATGAGTCATAACAATTATATGACTATATATGAATGACGTCAGAGACATGATTATTATCAGATAACAATGATATTTTTAAATGGTTAACCTCACTAAAATGATGCTATGGAATCTGGAAAAACCACTGATATGACTGCTTGTCATGAGGGAACAAAAATTGATGAGGCGATATTCAAGGAAGTGGACAAGACAGTCAATGAAGATTTCATTATTTACTACAAACAATTCAATCAGTGATCAATAAGTTTATCAAAATACACTGGATCATATAACTAAATATAACGATCAAAAACTGAATTGCATCTATAGAAAATTCTCATTTCCACAATCTTCGTACAAAGCATATTGTGTTTTTGATGAAGCGATTGATTCAATGAAATAGATAGGTTTGTGTAGTAGAAGTTTTGAACTATGTTAAACTGTTGAGAAGATATTTCGTCTTGTATGTTTTCTGTGTGTTTCAAAGTCGGACTCATGAAAATGTTTGAAAATATAGACGAAAGTAAGATTTTTGACCGATCACATTCTACATAACTTGAACAATTTAAACTGTATCATTTAATTTTAATGATCAGAAAGTGCTTAATCTTTTTGATACTTGTTCGTGAACTGACAGACCAATTTTGAACATTAAATGAACCAGTGCAATTATTTTTATTTCTTATCATTTGCAAAACTAATATCCTTAAATCAACCAAAAGTGGATCAGTTTGATTGTGAGGTTATTTTCAAATGTGATTATCAATTTTAATGTACTTGTGGAAGAAAGTGCATAGGAAGGACTGAAAGAGGGGTATCTACAAGCTTTTATGAAAATACTCCCTAAATTAAAGTATTCACATGTAAAATGATTGGATATTTGATCGATGAACACAATATGGACTTTAAAAGGCGTTTGAAATAATAAATAATGAAGAGAAATCATTTTTACTTCACTTTGCAGAAGCCATCAAGTTTGTTTTAAGTTATCAATTAATTACCACTTATTACTTCAACATTTTCTTTATATGATTTCATATTCAACAAATAAATATCAGAAGAGGGCTTTGTGGTGATTTTAGTAGTTCAATAGTTGAATTCATGAGTCGATTGAAGCTAGACCACTATGGAAAAACTGGAAGCACTGGAAGGCCGTTTCGTCCCAGTATAGGATTACCTAGTAATACACACCCACGATCCCGCTGGTGGAGTTCGTACACAAGACCTGTTGTTCTCGCACGCGATCTCTTAACCTCTAGACAACTGAGCTTGTCGGCACCCAACGATGTTAATGTGTGTTACGTCAGTCCACGAAATCGTAACACCATCCATTATCGTCTTTAGTGAGTTACTATCTCACAACTGACCTTGTTGAATTCCACCTGTCAGTCTTAACTATTATATTAACTGTGTTGTTTTCTTTTGAAATAAATCGAGTTGATTCCATTCTAAAACTCTTTTTTTCTCGCTTTGTTTATATTGACAAGACAATATATCTTGTAAACCAATCTAAATTATCGTAATGAAATTTCAGTCTTATAACCAACAGGTTAATTTAGTGTATACTCAACTAACATGTTTAATACTTATGAATTTTCTTTCAAAATATAGTCGTTACGTTATGAGAAGGTACAAAGTAATCGGAAATTTCTTCTAAACAACAATAGTGTGATTAAATTCATCCAATATTTAAGCTGATGAAATCTGATTTATGCACAAATTTTTCAATCTAATAATAATTGCTAATTGCCATTTAGCTGGGCTAGACGAAACTTTAATTTCAACAGATCTTTAATTATTTAATTAATTAATTATTAAGCAGGAAATTAAGTAAGTAAGTAAGTATATGAATGATCTGTCAATATAGCAGCTGATTATATTCGAACCAGAGTGTATAAACAGTCATATGTTTGTGGGCGACAATCAGCATCATGAAGCAGAATAAAAATTTTAATGGAAAAGTCAAGGTCAAACGTGAACAACAAGTTTTCGTCATTACTAATGATTCCATAAATCAAGTGATATGAAAAATGTGAATGACGAATGATTGACAGAATAATAAGCCTATGTTAACTAACTCAAACAAATATGTACACTGTATATTAACAAAATACTTGATTACGTAACCGTAGTTAGTTCAGTCCTGCTGAATACCTACTGAGTTTGTCCATGCTAATGCATTGTTTCCTAGATCTGAGATTAAAACCCAACTACTTTAAGTTGTAATACCACTCATTATGATAAATGTTATCGAAGGTAGCTTCAACAGTAAAATTTGTTTATGTTTACTTAAAAAGGGAATTAGTAGTGTATCATAGGTTGAAAAAAAAAACACTGAAGTTCATTGCAATAAGGAAAATCTGAATATAAATCATAACCATGTGTGGAAAAAGTCAAACAACAGAAAACTGAATAGGTTGTGAATAATATTGTTGTGACAAAATAAATATTAGGGAAATGGTAACTTTTGGGACTATTTTACACTATATATATGTTGCATAATCATTAAATGAATGGATTATTATATACGTGCATTTCCTTTATCATAAGCTTCCGTTGGACTCATTGACTGTTCATATATGTCCCACCATGTTTTAATTGTTGTTGGTTGATTATTCATCTTATGCCACATTCTGTCACTTACAGCTTGATAATATATGTGGAGTAGGATTTTATTCCTCGGGCGTGTTGTGATCTGATGATTCCAATATAGTTCCCATGATTCTTTGAAATATAGAAGCTCGTCTGCTTTGTTCTCTTACTGGGTTCAGTATCGGGATACAAGAAAGCCGTGAGTTTGTCGGACCAGTACTTACATACTGACCTACGCCTGTCACCCCTCGTGGAGGAGCATAGACCGCCCACCAGCACTCTCCATTCAACCCTGTTCTGGGCAATCCCTTCCAGTTCCTTCCAGATGCTATTCATCCTTTTCATTTCGGCATCCGATTCGCCTTCCTCTTGGTGAACCAGTAGGTGTTAGATTATTCCGTCACATCTCAAGCTTAACTGTGCCAGTTTAGCCCAATTATTGGTCAAGTCCACATCATTATTTTGTAAGTGAGATGGTATACTCGAGCCAGAGACATAACTCCAGATTCTGGTTGATGAATCCACTCCAGTAGATCGATTAAGAATTTTGTAGCTAAACCAATTACATAAAAGTTTTATTAATGTAAAAGTATTTTCTCTTATTATTGCTTATTAGCATGTACAACAATGTTGTTGATGTGAATTCAACTGCTAAAATGTACTACTTACTCTATACAATGAACACAGACAATGGTTCTTTAACATTTTAAATTGTTGCCTATTGAATTTATATGAAAAATTCAATATTCTCACTTCCAAAGAAAACACCTAAAACTTTTTGTAGAGTAAATTATTCAAACGCAAATCCACAAATTCAATATGGTCTATCTAACTTCTATAATTTCATAATAAGTTGGAACTGTCATTCAGTCTCTTTGATGAGCTCTCTTTCCTCTTATCAGTATCAAAGAAATATTCACTATTAGAAATCCAATAAAATGAAGATGTAAATTGGAATAAAACCAGAGTATACGGATTTAAAAGAAACTTAAGCTGCACCATATATATATATATATATATATATATATATATATATATATCAATGCTAGAGTAATCAGCTGAGTAACTGGTTGCAGCACTTTGTATACCACTTAGATAATAAATTATTTACTTCATTTTCCTTCTAAGGAAATAATTATCTGACATTGGTGTACCTGGAATAATTATTTTACAACTATTTTAGTAAATGAAATAAGTTTTAGTTTAGGTATTAATTGGTATGATCGGATCGCTGCTAGAAAAAAGAAAGCAAATCTACATCTGTATCATTTTCTTTTTATCAACGTTTTGTAATAACCACAAGTGTTACGTAACATAAGCAAGTTAACATGCATAATGATATCAATTCACGACTTTAGCTAACTGAATTATAGACAGATAACTAAAAGATGACCTGATTGATTCAATAAATGTAAATGGCATTGTGTCATTTATTATTGATTAAGTAATTCACACATTACACAATTAGTACAGAATAATTAAATATTGAGAAATGGCTAAGCCAAACTACCAACAATGACAGCAACAACAAAAACAACGAAAAAAACATAAGAAAACAAGATATTGATGAATGTCTTAAAGATAAGCCAAATCAAAACATGGAAAGTATTTATCATCAATGTGCTGAATGAATAACAACGACAACAACAACAACATCAAATTACACAGTATTCATCTTCTGGAACTAAAGATTTTCAAATTTTATAGAAATTAATTTGACAATCTTCTTAAACGACCAATGTAAGGTAGATAAAAGCTTCCAGTGTATAAAGTATCATCATGTTCTAGTACTTCACAAGCATTTGGTAATTCATTTTGAAAATCTTTCCAAATTTCAATTATCTGTCCATTTTCATCTAAACGAATTAACATTGATGATTTTCCTTTCGGTATTAGTGTGAATGGAAGCATGGAGATAATCTGTTGCAAAGATAAAAAAATAATGAAATACTGAATACTTACTTAGTTTGGTGGGAAATTGCATAAAAGTTTAATATGTGTCACTAGATTCTCTGATCTACCTCTATGATAATTCATTTTGAAGGTATTGTGAAGTTTATTTTACTTCGTAATTAGCTTCAGCTACAGATTCACATTAGTTAAGGTACCAGTGAAAACCAGGGAACATTTCTCAGTTGTTCCGTTGCAGTGTGGAAACCCTCAGCGTTTGCCCCTGCTAAGGCACCGATATAGAATCGTTTGATCCCTATTCATTTTCTCTGAAATGAGTTCAGTAGGTTTCATTGAGAATTCAAGACTGGTGGAGGTCAACCATGCCGGTAGTGAGACAGTCTTTCTCAATGCCATTATGTGATTGCACTGCCATGTCATTAGTTGGTTGAATTTGAAAATGTCTACATACACTGTTCTAGGTTTACTACTCGACTGCCAAAAAGTTCAGAAATGGAGTGACAATAAGATGGAAAATATTGATTATAAAAAATGCAGGAATATAATTAACCGTACACTGGAAGCCAACTGACGAATACAAGGATAAGCTGGTAGATAGTTGAGTAGAAGTTCAGATAGAGGCTCGTCACGAAGAGGGGATACAGGGACCCAATATCCACCACGTGGACTGGCTTTGATATTATCCGGAAAACCAGGTAGCCCATCACTGAACACGGTCACTTCACCTCCGTCTAATGGAATTCGTAAAATTTGAAGTTTCATTGTTTCAACGAGTAATATGGATTTTCCGTCACTAGAAATTTCGATTCCGTTGGGAAAGCGTAAACCATCCATTATGTGACTGTATTGACCAGTTTTTGTATCAGCCATTGTTAGCCTAGAGAAATAATTAAAGAAGAAACCTACATTAATTAGGATTCGTGTTCCAGAAATACAAATGATTGGAAGGCATATTCAAAGTTTGTTTCATGAAGATCCTAAAGTACATCGCATTAATTTGATCTTATTATAGCTTAGACAGTTATTTAAGTCTATTGTTTTGACCATATCTGTTTTGTATATTTTTAGGTATATTTCCCAGAATATAACGGTGACATCGTGGTTACGTGTATAAACGTTACTAAGAATAATGTGATATTTGTATGCAACACTTTGGTTCCCAATGGTCATTCGAATAATGTTTCATTGTATGCAAACCAAGTTATCTGGTGGTTATTTGAAAGCATTAAAATACTTAATTGTAAACATTTAGAAACGAAGTATCCATCTGACTCATTGTCGAAAGAAAAGAGTTATTAATGCTTTCACATATCTGCATTAATACAACCGTATATTTCATTTATTCTTTTAAAGATAATTTTTGTTCAGTGAATATTAATCAGTTGTGCTGAATTTCTCCAGAAAAATCAACACCGAAGACTGAAAGGATACATTTACCAATGCCTAGTACTGTGTAACACGTTTTTGTCCTAATGGTTAGAGATTTAATTGTTGTCATGTAATTTATCGGTAAACACTGAATGTTTTGCTTTGGTCTTCTAGTTACAACTCAATCGAAAATTCTGCAGTTAGGAAATCAAATATACACAGATGCTTATTAAGATCAAACGGAATATGCCAAATCAAGTAGAATATTTCTTATTTTATTTACACTAACCGATCATTGACTAGTAAACAATATTTTATTTCCTAGTCCTGTAGTGATAATCAGGTATTATATCTGCATTTTCGACATAGTCTACTCTATCTACGTTTTCCGAAACCGTATCACTGAGCATCACAATCAAATATGCCATGATTAAAGACGTATTTGCCACTGTCTATTTGTAAGACTGTCTCTTTGCAAAATTGGCTGAGTGAGACTTGTTTTACGTGTTTCCGACGAGTTCCAACTAATACATAACTTAGGTCGATGATTTTCCGTTGAATAGCTCAACTGATGAATTAAATGTTTACATATTTCAGAACAAAATTCATGAAGAAAGTATCATCATCCTAAACCTAGTTAAAAATAGATATGAATTGAACCACTGAAATACAGATCATTTGTGAAAAACTTGTCATTACCTCCCACTAGGTAGTCCCTCTAAAATTGTTGTCCATAGATGTCGTAAAGTATTTTTTGTACTAGCTTCAGTAATAACAAGACTACCGTTCGGTAACATTACTGAATCATCAAAAAATGTAACTTTGAAATCTTCATCTAATGGGAACAATTTCTTCACACTACCTAAAAGATGCAAAAATATAATCAATATTATTATTATTATTATTATTATTATTGTTTATTGAACTGACCATCTTTTACTGAGACAGAGAATACACCTAAATAGGCATCCGTGACCAAGAAATTCTCCGAATTGTTGAACAATTTTAAACCTAATGGTCTACCACATTCATGTACACCAACTAAATATTTGGTGTATTAGTTAAGCTATAAGCTATAAAGAACAATATTACCGCAGTTTGGTGAACCAAGTGTTGCATGAACATAAATCCCAGAATCATTTATTTTTACTATTTTCCCTTGAATCACTGTGGCATACAATGAACCTATTGGATAATTTCCCAATTAAGAAAGCTAAACAAAACTACACTACTTACCATCATGATAAATTAAACTTTCAGGACCACTGTAATTCATTAAATCAATCTTTTCTAACTTTCCATAATTTTTATTTGTAATAAGTTGGTCATTCAGCTCAATGGATGGATTAATATGATAAGTATATGAATCGGTTGATTTATTCAGAAAACAGAGTATTATGTACCCAATACAAATGACTGTTATTGAACTAAAACCAAGTTTTCTCAGTTCTATCATTAGAACAGTCTTTTTTATGGTTGAGAGCAATAGAATCATTTATTAAGCTTACTATATATACATAAATAGACTGAGATCGCTTTGAAAAAGTACATATATAGTCATATTTTGTTGCATTGTTGAACATGAATTTATTGACCTAAAGGTCATTTCACAAACAGATTCTCTAGTGTGCCTTACACAATAGAACATATTATTGTTGGTCTTATGACTAACGTTAAATATATGAACACATGCTAATAAGCGTTTCTTAATTTGATTGGTATTTTGATAGTTTTTTGAAGTGATCATCTATTTTGTTTAGTTTGACGTTATATGAAACGATGAGTTCAGTGTATGACAATTGCGATCATTTAGAGGGAAACTCTGATATGTCAGATGGTTTAAAGTAGTTGACAGGAAGCCCTGGATGCAAGTTTCATGGTATTCAGCACTTACCAGCAAGGTGTGCCTGTAAACGTGAGGGGAACGATACTCATTGTGGGATGACAGGTACGCCTCGTTGAAATGTGCTAAACAGTACGAAATTTAGAGTGATGTTTTCCTGTGCACTACCTCACACCATCTCGATGTAGTGAAGACGATATCGAGTCACTTATACTATTGGCTATATTGTAACTTGACTTATAGAATTCGATAAGCACTAAATAATCAGACAAAGAATACATTGACCACTACCTCGTGGTCAGCCAGCTATGTCCTCAACACTTAATGCGACTAAGGTTAGAGATTGTCCATTCTTTATGTTCAACGTATTGTCGATAAACTGTCTGCGGTGTGAAAACACCCTTAATTATCTGGAACATGACTTACACGTACGAAATCGATCTAGAAAGTAATCATTGAATTTTGAGGATCCGAAATCCTTTGTCAATACATGGGCCACAGTGTTCTCACTTTTTTCTAGGTTAGGTCATTTATCTTCTTCCACCCACATAAATCCCTACCCTTTTAACCCCTCCCCTAACTTAACTTCATCATTCAAAGATAGTTCACGTGATCGGTGATTCGTATGATTCAATTTACCTTTCAAGTATCTTCATTGATTCGGCGTCACTCACAAAGCTTTCAAGCCTTTTCATAATATTTTTTTGAGCAATGAAGCAGGATGAACGAATCCATCTGATAGATGACCGACGTCATGGAAATGATTAACAGTTTTTTTTAATTCTTTCCAATTTAAGAGCAAAGAACACAGGCTATTAATTCAATTTTGGGCATAGTGACAAGTTTCAGAGGAGGAGTTACTCGAATACGACGTGGGAAGCAGCAACAAAATCACATTTGACGGAAAAACTCATCAACAGGTGGGAGCTTTCATTTACCTGGTCAATACAGTCACATAATGGATGGTTTACGCTTTCCCAACGGAATCGAAATTTCTAGTGACGGAAAATCCATATTACTCGTTGAAACAATGAAACTTCAAATTTTACGAATTCCATTAGACGGAGGTGAAGTGACCGTGTTCAGTGATGGGCTACCTGGTTTTCCGGATAATATCAAAGCCAGTCCACGTGGTGGATATTGGGTCCCTGTATCACCTCTTCGTGACGAGCCTCTATCTGAACTTCTACTCAACTATCTACCAGCTTATCCTTGTATTCGTCAGTTGGCTTCCAGTGTACGGTTAATTATATTCCTGCATTTTTTATAATCAATATTTTCCATCTTATTGTCACTCCATTTCTGAACTTTTTGGCAGTCGAGTAGTAAACCTAGAACAGTGTATGTAGACATTTTCAAATTCAACCAACTAATGACATGGCAGTGCAATCACATAATGGCATTGAGAAAGACTGTCTCACTACCGGCATGGTTGACCTCCACCAGTCTTGAATTCTCAATGAAACCTACTGAACTCATTTCAGAGAAAATGAATAGGGATCAAACGATTCTATATCGGTGCCTTAGCAGGGGCAAACGCTGAGGGTTTCCACACTGCAACGGAACAACTGAGAAATGTTCCCTGGTTTTCACTGGTACCTTAACTAATGTGAATCTGTAGCTGAAGCTAATTACGAAGTAAAATAAACTTCACAATACCTTCAAAATGAATTATCATAGAGGTAGATCAGAGAATCTAGTGACACATATTAAACTTTTATGCAATTTCCCACCAAACTAAGTAAGTATTCAGTATTTCATTATTTTTTTATCTTTGCAACAGATTATCTCCATGCTTCCATTCACACTAATACCGAAAGGAAAATCATCAATGTTAATTCGTTTAGATGAAAATGGACAGATAATTGAAATTTGGAAAGATTTTCAAAATGAATTACCAAATGCTTGTGAAGTACTAGAACATGATGATACTTTATACACTGGAAGCTTTTATCTACCTTACATTGGTCGTTTAAGAAGATTGTCAAATTAATTTCTATAAAATTTGAAAATCTTTAGTTCCAGAAGATGAATACTGTGTAATTTGATGTTGTTGTTGTTGTCGTTGTTATTCATTCAGCACATTGATGATAAATACTTTCCATGTTTTGATTTGGCTTATCTTTAAGACATTCATCAATATCTTGTTTTCTTATGTTTTTTTCGTTGTTTTCGTTGTTGCTGTCATTGTTGGTAGTTTGGCTTAGCCATTTCTCAATATTTAATTATTCTGTACTAATTGTGTAATGTGTGAATTACTTAATCAATAATAAATGACACAATGCCATTTACATTTATTGAATCAATCAGGTCATCTTTTAGTTATCTGTCTATAATTCAGTTAGCTAAAGTCGTGAATTGATATCATTATGCATGTTAACTTGCTTATGTTACGTAACACTTGTGGTTATTACAAAACGTTGATAAAACGAAAATGATACAGATGTAGATTTGCTTTCTTTTTTCTAGCAGCGATCCGATCATACCAATTAATACCTAAACTAAAACTTATTTCATTTACTAAAATAGTTGTAAAATAATTATTCCAGGTACACCAATGTCAGATAATTATTTCCTTAGAAGGAAAATGAAGTAAATAATTTATTATCTAAGTGGTATACAAAGTGCTGCAACCAGTTACTCAGCTGATTACTCTAGCATTGATATATATATATATATATATATATATATATATATATATATATATATATATATGGTGCAGCTTAAGTTTCTTTTAAATCCGTATACTCTGGTTTTATTCCAATTTACATCTTCATTTTATTGGATTTCTAATAGTGAATATTTCTTTGATACTGATAAGAGGAAAGAGAGCTCATCAAAGAGACTGAATGACAGTTCCAACTTATTATGAAATTATAGAAGTTAGATAGACCATATTGAATTTGTGGATTTGCGTTTGAATAATTTACTCTACAAAAAGTTTTAGGTGTTTTCTTTGGAAGTGAGAATATTGAATTTTTCATATAAATTCAATAGGCAACAATTTAAAATGTTAAAGAACCATTGTCTGTGTTCATTGTATAGAGTAAGTAGTACATTTTAGCAGTTGAATTCACATCAACAACATTGTTGTACATGCTAATAAGCAATAATAAGAGAAAATACTTTTACATTAATAAAACTTTTATGTAATTGGTTTAGCTACAAAATTCTTAATCGATCTACTGGAGTGGATTCATCAACCAGAATCTGGAGTTATGTCTCTGGCTCGAGTATACCATCTCACTTACAAAATAATGATGTGGACTTGACCAATAATTGGGCTAAACTGGCACAGTTAAGCTTGAGATGTGACGGAATAATCTAACACCTACTGGTTCACCAAGAGGAAGGCGAATCGGATGCCGAAATGAAAAGGATGAATAGCATCTGGAAGGAACTGGAAGGGATTGCCCAGAACAGGGTTGAATGGAGAGTGCTGGTGGGCGGTCTATGCTCCTCCACGAGGGGTGACAGGCGTAGGTCAGTATGTAAGTACTGGTCCGACAAACTCACGGCTTTCTTGTATCCCGATACTGAACCCAGTAAGAGAACAAAGCAGACGAGCTTCTATATTTCAAAGAATCATGGGAACTATATTGGAATCATCAGATCACAACACGCCCGAGGAATAAAATCCTACTCCACATATATTATCAAGCTGTAAGTGACAGAATGTGGCATAAGATGAATAATCAACCAACAACAATTAAAACATGGTGGGACATATATGAACAGTCAATGAGTCCAACGGAAGCTTATGATAAAGGAAATGCACGTATATAATAATCCATTCATTTAATGATTATGCAACATATATATAGTGTAAAATAGTCCCAAAAGTTACCATTTCCCTAATATTTATTTTGTCACAACAATATTATTCACAACCTATTCAGTTTTCTGTTGTTTGACTTTTTCCACACATGGTTATGATTTATATTCAGATTTTCCTTATTGCAATGAACTTCAGTGTTTTTTTTTTCAACCTATGATACACTACTAATTCCCTTTTTAAGTAAACATAAACAAATTTTACTGTTGAAGCTACCTTCGATAACATTTATCATAATGAGTGGTATTACAACTTAAAGTAGTTGGGTTTTAATCTCAGATCTAGGAAACAATGCATTAGCATGGACAAACTCAGTAGGTATTCAGCAGGACTGAACTAACTACGGTTACGTAATCAAGTATTTTGTTAATATACAGTGTACATATTTGTTTGAGTTAGTTAACATAGGCTTATTATTCTGTCAATCATTCGTCATTCACATTTTTCATATCACTTGATTTATGGAATCATTAGTAATGACGAAAACTTGTTGTTCACGTTTGACCTTGACTTTTCCATTAAAATTTTTATTCTGCTTCATGATGCTGATTGTCGCCCACAAACATATGACTGTTTATACACTCTGGTTCGAATATAATCAGCTGCTATATTGACAGATCATTCATATACTTACTTACTTACTTAATTTCCTGCTTAATAATTAATTAATTAAATAATTAAAGATCTGTTGAAATTAAAGTTTCGTCTAGCCCAGCTAAATGGCAATTAGCAATTATTATAAGGTTGCAAAATTCAAACATATATATTATATACATAAATCAGATTTCATCAGCTTAAACATTGGATGATTTTAATCACTCTCAGGTTGTTTAGAACAGATTTCCGATTAATTTGTACCTACTTACTTAATTAATTAATTACTTATTTACTTAGCCCTCGATGAGGACCATAGGCCATACATCAACATTCTCCATCCAACACTGTCATGGATAATCCTTTCCAGTACTTTCCAGTTGATATTCATCCTTTTCACGTTTGCTTCCAATTGGCGACGTAGTGTGTTCTTCGGCCATCTTCTTTTCCGTTTCCCCCTTAGGATTCCGAGTTAGGGCTTGTCTCGTGATGCAGTTTGGTGATTTCCGTAATGTGTGTCCTATGCACCTCCAACGTCTTTTCCTAATTTCCTCTTCACATGGAGTCTGGTTTGTTCTCTCCCACAATAAGCTGTCGCTGATTATATCCGTCCAGCGGATATCCTGTGTAGACAACTGCTTATAAATACTTGTACCTTTTTGATGATGTTTGTAGTAGTTCTCCACATTTCAGCTCCGCACAGTAGAACTGTCTTTACGTTCGTATTACAGATCGTGGCTTTGATGTTGGCATGCAGACAGTTGTATTGAGTTCCATATGTTGTTCAACTGTAGGAATGCTGCTCTTGCTTTGCCAATCCTCACCTTTACATCTGCATCGGATCCTCCTTGTTCATCGATGATGCTTCCCAGTTAAGTGAAAGACTTCACAGCTTCCAGAGTTTCTCCATCATGTGTGATTGGGTTTGTGTTCTCCGTGTTTTATTTGAGGATCGTGCTTTTTCCTTTATGTCACATAAATTTACAGATTACATCTATTTCTAAATCAATGAGTTATACTTGATATATTACTCTGAATTAAGTGGAGGTTTTGGAATCACGAATTACATGTTAGAATTGTGAATCTGGTAGTGGCTAAATAAAACAAACTACATCTAACAAATAAAGCAGTATCTAGTTTTTTATTTGCTCACTTAGTCTTCTATATTATGAACTGACTCTACACTTCAGTCAACAAATTCGTCACCATTTTAGTATTTTTATTAGTGCTCGTTAACATATTCTGCTCGTTCACTCTTCTATCTAGCGGATAAAATAACGTATGGCAGCAATGTCGTTAGGTTCCATACCAATATTTTTTAAGCAGGAACAGTTCTGTCTGTTCAGACTAAACTTGAAATAACTTTGATCATGACTAAAACTACTAAATTTTGATAGCAACCGCAGAAAACGTGTAGAAGAGAGAATAGACAAACTTAAAAGTATAAAGTTTATCAATTATTTGGAATAATATATGAGAGTGTCAGCAGCTAAGTTTGATACACTTGAAATATGGATGAGGAGATTTCAACAATAATAATGTTCATTGACAAGTTGAATAAACCGACAGTTCAGTTGAAGAGAATTGTATGAAACACAGTGTAGATTGCTCATTTCCTCCTCCTCCTCTTCCTCCTCTTCCTCCTCTTTCTCCTGCTCCTCCTCCACCTCCTCCTCCTCCTCCTCCTCCTCCTCCTACTACTACTACTACTACTACTACTACTACTACTACTTTTTCAGAGTACTTTGCTCAGTTCTTATTTGTTTGTGTATATGTTAATCTATGTTGTATATGTAGACATTTATTTCTTGATTTTTCGTATGTAGTCGTGCTGATTGAAATTAGTTTATACAGGATGAATATAAACTACCTTCAAGATGCATTTTCTGGAGTTTTAGTGATAATCCATGACCAATCGAGTCAAACAGTGTAAGTTAGAGACAGGTATCTACCTCAGAAAATGGATGGATGTTTGAGTAAATCATAAATCGATTGGAGTTAGACATTAACATCGTTGGATGCCGACCGGCTCAATGGTCTAAAAATTAAGAGTTTGCGCGCAAGACTGAATGTTTTGCATTCGAATCCAACGTGTGGCATCATGCTGAGGATTCTCACACTGTGACGAAACGACCGTCCAGTGCTTTTAGAGTTTCATTGATGTTCTAGCTTCAATCGACTCATGTATTCAACCCTTAAAGTTAATACATTCTCTACAAACCTCATTGTAATTAATATTAGACGTATGTTTTTGTGAATTATTAAATGTCATTATGACAACATATGGTTTAAACTATCGAAACATATAATAAATATATTAATAGATACGCTTTTCAGCTGTTATTGTAATATGAAAAATTGTATGGATTAATCCCTAATAATTTAGTAATTCTATGGAAATTTAGACAATAAAGCTACTTATAAGTGCACTCTATTCGACAACGCTTTAACCAGTAGCACCTAATATGAATCGTACCCACCAAGTGAAATCAAAAGAAAGAAGCGAGGAGGTTCGAAGATATATTTGATAGGCTATCAATATATCGAGAATCGTGTGATCTAACCTGGCTAACGATTGCAGGGCTTGTTGAGCACGGCGTTCTCACTCGTGGTCTGGTGCGGATGCATGACTGAGCGCCTTCAGCTATGTGAGTCCATTAAAATCGATGTGGACAGCATCCAATGTCAAAGACTTTTACCGCTACAATTTAGTCTTCAACAGTTCTATCCGACCCTATTTACAGTATGGAAATATGGAGTCTCACCTCCTTCCATAGTATAAGGATACACTGGAATATATCGGAAGGCAAATTCAGTTCGAGGACTCAAATTCCAAACTAATAAAGAGCCTTTCAAATCATTGAATCTTTGCCTCTCATAGTGCAGGCGCCTCTGACGTGATCTTTTAATGACCTATATCATCCTAGACACTCCAGCGCACACCGTCAAGTACTTAGGCTCAGTCCCAACGCAAACCATAGGGGTGACACCCAGAAATTAAAAACCCACTATCGAAGAATTGGCTGTATGCTCACATTTCACTCTTCAGGACCAGTCTGGAATTCATAGCCGGCAAAGATGGTCCTTGCGACTACCCAGAAGTCCTTCGAGAGGAAAAGACTTATCCATAAGAACCCAGGACAGTATTTTGTTATAATTTACTAATATTTCTATTTTTACTGATAAACTAACCTAGGTTTCTACCTGAAGACACCAGTGATTCACTGCTACTCGGTGAGGATGCCCGTTAAGCGAAATCTCCGTCTATTCTGTCTGCAACTAATCGACCTATATGTAAGGCGGCTTTTATGAATGGAATTAGTATTTCAAGGTCGATCCTGAGTTTAATTAAAAAACAAAATGGATCCAGCACTCTAAACTTCATACTCTCTAGATATAAAGACAGTTATTCTGTGTTAATATTTTGTAAGTATTTCTGTGAAAAAGTAGATTTTTATTGATGGAGTCCTCGTAAACATTTTTGGACAGTTTTCACGCGTTGACAGCTAAATCAGGAAAGCGAAACCTTACCGTCCGTTTTTTAAATAGTGTCTTTAGAACATTCCCATGTCGGCCTTAAGAATACCTAGTCCTGGACTAAAGGGGAACATAGCATGCCCTAAGGTGTTGAAGGAGAACTTTGTTATACAAACTATAATTAACTATTTAATGTGGTAATGTTAGGGTGAAGTAGGAAACTCGGTGTTTATTTTTGGAAAAATGTAGACTACTTGCGGAAAGTAAAGGTGTTAACCGGGACATTTTTTTGTAGGGAAAACATCTATAAGGTACTTCTTGTTTCCTGAAAAATTCTTTAAGGTGTTTTACTTTACTGTTAAACAAATGATGGTTGTCTTTGACCCAATTTTTGAATTTTAAAACTTTTCTTTGAAATAATGCTATAATATGCATGCTTTCCCTATAAGCCACTCACTTTTAGCATAAGTATTTACACACCTGTCAGTATGGCGTTTACAACAAGTATGATTCCAGAACAAGCTCAAGTTAAAGATCGCGCTGATGAACTTCTGTCTTTATGTAAAAAAGCAGTTGTATGTTTTATCATACATAAACATGATTTTTATAGGCTGACTGCAATAACGTGAAGCCAACACTTGATTCACTTGATAAATTACGTTGCAAACAACGTGGTTCTAAAGGTTAGTTAGTAAGTTATGGCACTAATACTGACAATTAAAGTTGTCAAAAGTCAGTTGAAGTCCTTATACACACAGGCAATTAGTGAAGCTGAACATCAAAAAGCGTGAGTCAGTCAATGGACACTTCCTTATTTTTTTACAGTACTCTTATGGCTGCTTTAGAAAAAGTATCGGAAATTCGTGCTCTAGAATATAAGTTGAGTAAGTCCAAACATAGCCAGCCAAGCTTCTTAGGAACACATGTTGGTCCGAAAAGTTTTCGCCGCGGTGTACTAATGTCAGTTTTGCAAGAAAATGCCAAATCGATACCACTTTGGATAGGTAAACCCGGTGAGAGGTTAGTTTGACGTAGTTAATTATTTTTACCCAGTCCCCCTGCTCTGTGTGGTGCAACAGGACCATCACCAAATATTCCTGCTGATCCTGGCGATCATGTTGCCGCCCTTGTTCCAGAACCAGACGTGGCAGCTGCTGCTTGTAATTTATCTGAAGGTTGTATATTGGCTGAAGTTGTTTCGTATAATCCTGATAAAGAAATCTATGAGGTAGAAGATGTTGATGCCGAAGAAGGAAAGATGTAAGTTACCTAAAAATTGGCTCCACGGTTATTGTTTTGTGCACCTTGTTTCTAAGTATAAAATGTCCTGAAATGTAGTTACAAATTGTAAGCGAAGTAATAAGTGGTGTATGCTCTTGTCGTTATTTCTTGTGACAATAACTGATGCCAAAAGAATACATTGTCAAGGTGTTCCCACTTAATATCTCCATTAGAAATCGATGAAAAAACTAACTTATTTGTATATAATGCTTCACAGCTTGTGTAAATCAGACTCGTCTACTTCGTGTTTTGTTAGTAGTGGATTTGTTTTGTTTTATACCGTCACCGTAACCCGATTGATTATAACCGCTTGTAAAGTACATGTCAAAATGATAGACAATTATATTACTTCATAGACTTTTCATCTGTGTTTACATGTTTCTGTCAGTGTTATGTTCTTTAAGCTGGATAGCGTATTTGCGAAGCCTTCATTAATGGTACGGATACCATCAGCGCCTACTTGATGATGTTGTTCAGGATGTTAAAGGTTTCGCAACTTAACTGTCTAGTTCAGAGAACATTATACTACTACTATACTATCCTTTCAATATATGTATGTAATATGCTTCGACAAGATATATTTCGATAGACGTATTGGGTCATCTAGTAAGTTGTTTACTAATTTAATGAATATGCTTTTTAGTGTAAATTTACTGGTGCGTTAGTGGGACAGAACTTCGAAGTTGATATTAAATCCAGTCAATAGTTCTGTTATATACCTCAGTTGATGCTACAGCATACTACTATTCATCATAATCCTAGTTTGATTCCTATCAAAGTCTAAGTTTTTCTAGCGTTAATCATCGTCCGTATACCAACCTAAACTACCAAAAATAATATTAAACACCACTTAATCATGTGTGCTGAAAGATTAAGGATTTGTTTTGGGTTTTTAACTTAGTATATGTTGTTTTACCTAATAAGTCTTTGGTCATGGGTTTTTTCAAATCATTGCTCGCTTATTGTGGAACAACAGAGGGAGCAATGGTAAACTTAAGCGTAAGTTACTATGCAGATATGCCAATTCAGTTAGTGAGACTTAATCCCCAACTCAAGTGTCTGAGATTTATTTATTTATTTGAACACAAATATTGGTACAAGTGGGAACTGAATGCATATGTGTCACACAAGTCACTTGATTTATTTGTGGGCTGTGATACTGCCCGGATGCCCAGATTGAAGCAGGTGGTTTCTTAGGTAGCCACACCCGGAGCCTTCGACCTGAAGGTCTGATCCACAAGGCAGTGGAGCAACGTAAGGAGATGCAGTCCCATGATAGCCGGTGACCATTAGTTGGCTCATACGCCATTTGTTCCCTTAGGTCCGGGAACCCATGTGCACCATTGGCTTGGAATCATGGTTTTCTAGCTCCTTAGGTGGATCTCCTATATGCACCGACCCAGTTAAAACACTAGACATTCTCTTTTCGTCCTCTCAATTTCGTAAACAACAGTAATGCCGCAAAAAGGCAGTGAGTAGGACTTCCGTGGCAGTGGCTATATACGCGTGTTCATGTGAGGGCATTTCGTGAGGGAGAGCTGACTCTCCCCACCCTCGGTCGTACCAGGTCATTTGAGGGTAACATGAGCACCCATATTCCAGAACTCCCGGTCCACGAAGTCCTGCACCCTGGCCTCCAAGCAGCTGGATTACAGGCTCACGCCACTACGCCCAGACATATTCTATGGATGACTGGGCACCGTCTATCCCGACGTTCACTGATGGTCAGAATAAGAATAGGTTGAAGAAATCTAGGTGATACAGACGCGTTCATTCTTTTTCTTTTGTATCTTTAACTGGAATATTATCCGTACATTTTCCATCCGTTGAACTTATCCCACTTTTTCGAAACGTGTTTTTAATGTTTAGTGTTTATCACCACCATTTATATCACTATTATTTGGACTTTCCTGATGTTAATATTGTTAATTAAATATCGCCTCAACAATGTGATGTCAACATGTAGGGTCACGTGAATTTGTTCTAGGGTCAATGTCAACTATGATTTTATCTATAAACGACAAATTTTTAGTGAGTAATCGTTAATTGAGTTAATGAATCAACTGTACTAAGGTTTATAAATAAAAAGTATATTTGTAATATTCCGATGAGTAGAAAAATTAGACTTTCTGACTTTTCGTGGCTTAGTGTAAGTCACTTCTTCAGAGAATAAATAACCAAATTAAAACTAATCCAAGTTTAAATAGTACAACGGTTTGTGTAACTAAATCATTATATATATATATATATATATATATATATATATATATATATATATATACTTAAAAAAGCTTGGTATGGTCATTGTTATGTACATTCCTTGTTCTTTCAAAATGGATTATGAACCCTATAAAAAGCAAGATATATTGATATATATTCCGTAATTTGCAGGCCAAAGTGAGTATTACAAAATGCAACTATTTTCTATGAAATTTTTACGTATAAATTTATCATTTTATAATTTAATTGCAAGTAAATAGTGTCCTGTTCACGTCACAAATATATTCAACATTTTTAGCTTTCTCATTACTATTATCATTAATCACTACCATTGTGAGAAAATCATTTTTATATGGTTTTATCATTTCTATTCATTATATTATTACGTCATTCTTATTAAAATTGAAAAAGATTAATTTGCATGCTTCGTAACATTTTATCTGCACCTATTTAACCTAACCTTGTACGACTACAGTTCATTAACTGTATAAGGAACAAAACATAATTTAGTGTGACCATTTTTTTGAATTTCATCTGTGTATTTGTATCACACATCTGAATTGGTTTCATAAAAACTTATTAAACATTGATTCCTCTCATCCATGTGTTATTATTCATTTAATATGCGTTTTTACTTTGTCGAGGAAAAAATTGCAACCATATTTCATTCATTCTCTAAACAGAACTAACACATTTTTAGGTGAGCTAACTCTTGTTTTCTTTCGCTTTCCATGCTTTTGTGTGTACATACATTTTATTTACACTAAAATTTAAGATTTCATTGAAAAAATTGTATATATTTTTTATGTCAAGGCGTTACTCTCTATCCCGTTCTAAAGTTATACCTTTACCAAAATGGAAAGCTAATCCAATTACAAATCCTGAGGCAATATTCAATAAAGGTGCTGTAAGTCAGGCCCATTTTGTTTAGTATCTAACCAATATTATTATATTTACTTAATTTCTAATCTTATACACATCATTAATTAGTATGTCGAGAGAAAACAGTAGGTTGTTTTCTCGGGTCCTTTGTGATTGAGCCGTCTTGATAAGGAAGCAGTTGTATGATCCATCTTTAATCAAGTTATCGATTAGTTCACTTATATTTTCACTAAGACCGGTGAATTTTTATATGATACTTAACACACCCACCAATGAACAATAAACAAGACTTTAACGCTTATTTGCCTTCGAGCTCCTTATAATCCAGTGGTCAGTCAGAAGATAAAGGTAAGATGTAAATCAGTTCTGTCATACCTAGTTCAATCATGACTCACAACTGATATAACATTATAGAGTAAAATCCTAATCATGGTGTTAGTTCGTTGGAGGTAGTCAGTAGGAGACCATGAACATGGGCTACATGCTTATTGGCACTCATCAAGTCGTGCATCAAATCTTTAGGAAAATGTTACTCTCCGTGGTATTGAAACCAGCTTGTCTTAACTTCACGACTCCGCCTGTAGCTCTTCTAGAGTTACTGCCGGTCCCAAGTCTGGGTAAAGGAGGAGGGTTGGGCATGGGGTCGGCAACCCCATCCCGTAGAAAAAAATCTTGCTAAAAAAACGGCACAATATTCCCACAAAAACGCATACATATAGCTACATGTGTCTTACTGAATCGCACCACAGAGAATCAGATAAATCATATTTGTATTTGTCATTATTTCATTTTGTTTGGGGTATTTGTTGCTACCCTATTGTGTCAAGCTTTTTTTCTACAATGTTCAACTCAGCCTACTACTTTTTTTTTAAGAGGTAGAGACAAAATTTTGGCCCGGTAGTTAGCCAGTATTACATCACTAACTAATGATATCATAGTCATACTCATTTTCGAAAACGGAACACATGAAGTGAATGAAAACGTGGTAAAAAAAACTACGAATTGTAAGATGAACCTGTGACGACGCCCCCAAATGCCCTGGTATGGCCGAGAGTGGGGAGAGTCCGCTGTCCCTCTTTAAATGCTCTGACATGGCCACGCGTATATAGCCTCTGCCAGGGAAGTCCTACTCACTGCCTTCTCATGGCGGTGGGGGGTGTTTACAAAATTGAGAGGACGAAAAGCGAATGTCCGGCGCTTTAAACGGGTTGGTGGACATGGAGAGTCCAGCTAGGGGAGTTGGGAAACCCTGATTCCAAACCAATGGTGCACATGGGCTCCAGTATCCTGAGTGAAGAAATGGCGTATAAACCGATCGTTGGTCACCGGCTACCATGGGACTGCATCTCCTTACGTTGTTCCACTGCCTTGTGGATCAGACCTTCAGGTCGAAGGCTCCGGGTGTGGCTACCTAAGAAACCACCTGCTTCGGTTTGGGCGCCTGGGCAGTATCACAGCCCTCACACAAATCAAATGAGATTTGTGTGGCGCATATTGTATTTGGTGCCTCCTTGTATTAATATCTATGTGTTAAAATAAAATAAATAAATAATGTGATGATTATCGCGGTATAAGTATACTGCCAATTTCCTCGGGAGTATTAACTAAATAAGTCATACTCAGTGAGGAGTAGGTTGTGAATTTATGGATTATTTCTTCATTCATCGTCAAAGTGTTGAACACATGCAAATGTTTCGAAGTCGACTCGTTAGACAAACCTCTTCTCTAGGGTTGTCGGTCGAAAAGTGGTATATCTGAAGTTATAACTATATTATCTCCTTAGAACGTAAACAGTGTGGTTATATACTCTCCTATTTTCCCAAATAAGCAGGGTGTTTGATAACGTTGCTCACTGACCGCCAATAATATTTTAGAGGCAGCTTGAAAAGAGGTATATAGTGTCAATGTGCATCTCGAGATAAACTATTCAATTTTAAATAGAATAGGTGGAATGTGGCTAGCGTTGGGATTCAGGAGGAGCCTTTCGTCTTATTCGGGACTCATCGACTGGACGTGCTTGCATCGCATAGTTAATGTTCACTTTGGAACTCAAACCCAGTATCGTTTGGGATAACCTAAGTTATTCAAATTAAATTATCACTCAATTTTGAGTTTGAAAATCATATTTTAATCGCCACCAACAAATTGTTCAATTATCGAGTATTTAGTAAATAGTTAATTAGTGTCTGCTAGTTTGGTGTGTAATCTGCGTCCCTAGGAAATTATGAATGATTTTTTAGTTGTGGTATACAATTATACAAAAGATAAACTTACCCTTCATATAAAGGCGATTTTTATTTTATATTCTCCGTTTATATCACACATATCAACTGATTCTGAACGACAGCTACTAGTTGTATTTTAATTTTTTTCTACAGACTGTTTTGGCTCTTTATCCACAAACAACATGTTTCTACAAAGCAATTGTGGATGAAATCCCAATTCATGTAAGTTATTCATCGTGTTATCTTAATACTTTCTACACTCTGAAAGGAATACATAATAATTAAAGAATAGAAACTCGGAAAATACTGGTCATCTACATTCAATTGATTTATTGGTTTGTTATATTATATTAGCAGTACTGTGTACATAAAATCGTCACTATTACGCATGAATCTCATGAGCATACATACTACTATTGGCACAAAATAAGTGATGAACACGTTTAATATTATTTTAGTTTTGTCTGGGATATGAAAGTAAGAGAACTATTATGCTTTAATAAACGTTTTCACGTGAATAAATACAATTCATTTTGTGCAATTCATCATTTGATAATTACTCTCTATTTTCTTATTCTAGATACATGATGAGTATTCCCTTTATTTTGAAGATTCATCCTACCCTGAAGGTTATGCTCCAGCTATTAAAATACCTCAACGATATGTTATTCAATGTCCTGACAAAGAAGCAATGACGAGTAAACATTTAGACAGGTCAAAAAAACGTGGTAAAAAACTATGAATTGTAAGATGAACCTATTACTTATAATCTTAACTTCCTCCATATTGCAGTTGTGTAAATATAACTAATTTCTTTGTTGTTTCTGCATCTAAATATGGTATAGTAGGTTTTGGAAACAATAGATTTCAAAGTAGTTTTTCGGTCATTCATTCAAACCAATGCTAAATTACTACAAGCAAATACGAAGTAGTACTGAGATATCTACTTATTGACTTACAATACTGTAATGTATCGTTTCGAAAGTTAGCTGCTAAAGAACATAGCGAGTATTTATTTATTGGGTTTTTTTTTCAAAAACAAGGGATATTTGACCAAACAATTGTTTTCAATCACTTCGCCATTTTAAACATATAACATTGTCTAGTTCAGTAATACATGCCTTATTTTGGCTTTTGTAAAAATAACACAATAATTATGGACTAATAACTGTAGAGTCTGATGACGAAGTTATTGAAAAAAAATATTTTATTGGGATTTTTAACGGTTTTTATTTATGTCACTCAAACATGATGCCAACAGAGTCTTCGTAGTTATCTGTTTAGTCAGGAAAATATGTGTGCGTAGAATTATAAAGAAATTGCTGAGAAAATTGAAAATCTAAACATTCATTTTGACTTCACTTGATATTGTTTTACTTGAATTTTCCCATTGATGTTTTTTTGGACTGAAATTGATCAGTCTCTTATTGGCATATGTGCATACTGTGCGTATGCCTCAGTATGCACATATGCCAATAAGAGACTGATCAATTTCAGTCCAAAAAAACATCAATGGGAAAATTCAAGTAAAACAATATCAAGTGAATTCAACTTCAACCCATTGCACAAGCAAGTGGCTATCAGGACTCAGTAGCTAAGTGGATAACGCGATGGCGTTTGAAGCGAACGGTACTGAGTTCGAGTCCCAGAGTGAACATCAACTCTGAGATGCAGGTACATCCAGCTGACGAGTCCCAAACAGGACGAAACGCGCGTCCTGGATTCCACTGCTAGCCACTATCCATCTTTGCTTATAATTCATTTTGACTGTTTAAAACTTTTTAGTCTATTGAAGCAGAAGTATAATATACATACAAACCCTCATATATGATAGCTATATATGACTACTGGAAAAGTTAGGAGCGGCCCATTCAAACATGGGTTTAGTCCTTCAAGTCATCGATAATTATTCACTTAAAGGCGCTTTCACAGTAAGCGACTGAATAAGTTCGGGAATGTTGATTGCTTAGTTCAGTAATATGAAAGTGCAATATACTCAATTCCGTAGGTAAAACACCAATAGATTATCAGCAAGTCTTGTACATCTGTTACCTAACAATCAAGTAGGGTTGGTTTGCGCCTCCATTTTTTCTATGTATGGTAGCTTGAGATATTTAAATATGTCCACTACTTTACCCTCTACGACTTTGTTTCATTGACTGCTAGTGAAACGTCAGTCAGTCAATCAGCTACAATGTAGGACCAGGCACATTTATGCATCGGTCCAAGTTGCCATACCTCATTAACACAACAACATGGACACCGGATTCATAAAAGTAGTTAATTCAGAGGTGGTAATATATAAAAGAAAGATTGCAATAAGGATATAGTACAGGAAGAAAGAATTAGTTCATAGAAAGAATGATATGAAGCAATTTTAATCTCTTAGTTTAAGGGAAGACACAAAGTGTATACACCGACGCCATTGTGGTCTATTCTGAGCCATGTCACTAAGAATCTCCAACCATTGGTTACGACAGTCGCGCGGACCCCAACCAAGTAGTCTGCATCTACCAACATGGCTCAGACTAGAAGTTAGTGACTTCAAGCACTGATGACACGTTTTGGTTTGGCCGCCCCTAATTTTCTTCCAACCATCCCCAACACCGGTTAGCATTGCACGTCGTGGTAATCCGTGTTCGGGCATACGTAACACGTGGCACAACCATCTCAGTCGATGAAGATTCACAACCTCATCAACTGATTTACCATCATTCCCTAATACCCTGAGTCTAACCTCACGATTACTTACCCGATGATCCCAACAGATGCGAGCAACGTTTCTAAGGCATCTGTGGTCAAATACAAGTGTCTTCTACTCCTAATGGCCATGTTTCGCTGCCGTAAATTAAAACAGAACGAACTGCCGCGCAGCATACTCGTCCTTTTATTGATAGATGGATATCTCGCCTTCGCCATAGGTGACGTGAGTTGGCAAATGCCAAACGAGCTTTTCGAATCCGTGCTGAGATTTCGTCAGACACCAACCCATTAGGGATGATCAGACTTCCAAGATAAGTGAATTTGTCAACGCGTTCGACTACTTCACTCCCTATCCTTAGTTCAGGTGTTGATACAGGCCAGTCCTGAAGCATCAACTTGCGTTTAGAGGGAGATAAGCGCATTCCAAACATCCTGGCATTGTCGCTTAATACTACCAAAAGACTCTGCATTTTATCAGTGTCTTCACCAAACAGGACTATGTCATCTGCTTATCCTAAGTCGATAAGTGGACCTCCTGGAAGGAGATCAATACCCGAGAATTCAGTCGACGACAACGTTACTTCCATCAGTAGGTCTGTGATGAAGTTAAACGAAAATCGAGACAGTGAACAGCCCTGACTGACACCACTTGAGGTTGCAAAAGCAGATGACAGTTTGCCATAAGCTCTGACTCGATTAGTGTTGTTCGAGTAAAGAGCCTTTACAATGTTTGTGTACTTCTGAGGTACGCCTTTCAATGACAGACACTGCCACAGAATCTCGCGGTCTACGGAGTCAAATACTGCTTCTAAGTCAAGAAAGACCACCATTGTCGGACGCCGGTAAGTATGCCCATGTTCTAGCCTTTTGAACTTCAGCTAGAGTTGGGTAACCTACTTCAATGTTCTATTCACACTGTCTGGGAATGGAGGGTAGTTGTAGAGTAGCTGAAGACCAGCTGAACTGTTCTCTGAAATGTTCCGCCCATCGTTCTAAACGTCTGGACTGAGAGCAGATGAGGGTGTCGTCTTTTTCCGAAATAGTCTCACTTACACTTGACTTAATTATTCGTTTCTTTTATTAGTCTGTAGAGCTGTCTTGTGTTCCCTATAGCCGCCTCCTTTTCTATGTCTTTTGCTTTCGTTGCCCACTGCTGCTCACGGTCGTTTCTTAGACTTTTGCTTAACTTAGATCTGATTTGTTGTCGCTCTTCATCGTGTTTAGAGCCTGATGGGATGAGTTTACGAGAATCCATCAGTGCAATAGACCTAGAGGAAATCCATTGGTTCCTTATAAGCCTGTGGTTTAAATCACTGATAGATGTCACTGTTGTTTCCAAACAACATCGGGGTCAGCCTCGTTTTCAGAACTACCTAAGTGTGACCTCAGTTGTTCCTGGAACCTACTTTTGGTTTTCTCGCTAATCAATTCAGTTCTGATAGGTCTTCATAGTGTCCAGTGAGGCGCAAGCAGATGCGTGCCCGTATTAGGGCGTGGTCGGAGTCCAAACAGGTACACCGGAATAAGCGACAATCTTGATGTAGGGGGTCGCCATGTTAGACAATGTCTCTCTTTATGCTTAAAATTTGTGTTTGCTAAAAATAAACGATTGTCTGAGCACAGTTGCAGCAGACGATCACCATTATCTGTTCGTTATGCCGGAATACTAAAATACCCACCTAAATGCCTTTCTGTTTGGTTTAAACTACCTATGTGGGCATTAAAGTCACCTGCTACGAGTACTATGTCTGAAGGTTTAGCTTTCTGAAGAAGTTCAGATAACTTTCTGTAAAATTCATTTTTCGCCTCATTCGAGCTGCAGTCGGTGGGAGCGTAGGCAGAAACGACAAAAAGGCAACGACGTGTGTCCCTATCCTTCCGAGTTCTTACGGAGCCGTTTAACTGAACAGCATATAAACGATTGTTAACGGGGATCCACTCTAACAGTGCTTGTTCCGCCCTCATGCTTAGTGCTTTGCCTACACCTGCCAGTTCACGAGAGCTGGCCATCGCGTCACCAGATACACGTAGGGTGTATCTCGTTGACTCTCCGTGTTGCCGAGGTGAGGTCGAGTGAATGACCACACTTTGCGTGTTTCAGAGACACAGTATGCATCAATGGTACGAGATTCTAGTGTCTTAACCAAGGAGGCCTGCTGACCGTTTTGACACAGGGTGCGTATTTTGAAGACTCCATTGTGTAGTTTGTTGCGAGGTCTCAGTAGACCTGGAACAGTGTTTTGAGTACTAGAATCGTTGGAAATGATGAAACTTGAGGAGGAAGCCGAAAGAGGAAGTTTAGACGTGAAAGTCGATGTAGGAGGAGTAATAGGAAGTGAAGACGGAGGTTGATTAGGAATACAGTGGTCTTGAGTGCTGTTAGAGGCATAAGGGTGGTTATCACTTCCCGGTTGTCCACACCGTGGAAGCGTTCTTCTGGAGGTACCTGGTAAGGAAATCGGATTAGAGGTGGTCTTGGTGACCTGGGAGCGTGACCGCAGTGCCCAAGGGACAACTGCGTGAGGTCGGTCACACACGACCTTTTTATCTGTAATTTTTGTGTTAGCTTTTTGTGGCCCGTTGATCTGACTCCATTTTAGAGCATATGGAAGATGACTGGGAAGCCAACTCCGTTTCAAGCCGGGCATTACTCAATATTTATAGGCAGACAAAATAACTACAGACATGTGATAAGTCATGGGACATGAAGTGTACACACACATACGCTCATATGAAAACAGTCAAGGCTAATAAGCGAATAATTAACAAGGTCAAAACATGACTCAAGTAGAACGAATAGAATGGAATGTCCGGAAACTAGAATAAGATATATTATGGGCTAAAACTAATGACTAACACTACAAGCTCCGTACTTGTTGAGACCTTACCGCCGGAGACGGATATCCGTGGGATAAGGCGAGGTGTGGATTTTCAGGGTCGATCTTTTCTAACTCCATCACTCTTTGTGGGAAGGCAGCATCGCTGTCATGCTGGTTGTCTGAAGGAAACACCTTACTGCTGTCACACCTCTGTACAGTC